GGTCTACGGGAAGACTGGGCCTGACCCTGGCGGTCTACGGGGAAGGCTGGGTCTTACACTGGTGGTCAATAGGAAGGCTGGGTCTTACACTCACTAGTCTTTCAGTAGGCACTGTGTCCCAAAACTCACCTGCGCGCTGATCCTCGCCACCAGGAAACTTTTTCTGTTATCCAGCATGGACTTCTCCAGCAGACACTCCTGAGCCTGACCCTGCGGGTGGAGGACCAGAAACTATAACAAACATTCAGATATTCACTGCCGCCCCTCACACAGAAACAAGGAGCGGTTATTCAATGCAGCAGGATGAAGCGCAATGACAGCAGGCAAAGGGCAGTACACCAATCAGGGGCCAACAGACTTTCATAATGCAGAGCAAAGCTCGGTAAATGCTGAATTCCGATTGGCTGTTAGGAGTTACGGCAGCTCAGGGAAGGTTTGTATATAAAGAAGGCCTCCCCCTTACCAGCATGAGGTTTATATTGAGATTCAGGATCTGGTGGCTCATGTCCACGCTGAATGAATGAGAGAAGTGGTCCCTCAGATAGGAGAATGCTCCGGCAGCACACTGGAAGTGAGTACACGAAATCTTCATCCCCTGAAAAGAGAAATGACAGAGACTCGCTGAGAACACTGAGCCGCCATTGCAGTAACAATTCTAGGAGCTGATATGCAAATGTTAGGTTCTATAACCGAGTGGCCGGATTATTATGACCCCCCACCCCCCCATCAGTACTTCGTTGGGCCGCCTGGTGACTCCACGAGATGGTGAAAGGTGATGCGAGGAATCTGATTCGGCACTGTCGCCCTTCTGTTGTCTTGTACCAGTCTTGCCCCTCCCCCGTTCTGCCCTGACATTGACTAGTCGCTGACGGCCACAATTCGCACGCTCAGACCCAGATTTTCGGCTGACAGTCCGGTCTTTAAACACTTTAACAATGAGCCGCTCCTGAACATGTAACGGATTCTGCTGTTTTGCTGATACTCGCTCCATGGCTCCGAGCGCCAACAATCATCCCGCATTCAAAGGCTGTTACATCGCGTTGTTTCCCCGAATCTTCCCAATCACTTCTACTGTCGTGGTAACCAACCCGCTTCCCTATTTATAATGGTCTGGCCCTCTAGCAACTTCAGCGCCAAATTATAGCTAATGTGCCTACAAACGTCAGGTGGTCATAATAAACCGGCCACTCAGTGTATATAATAATCCGGACACTCGGTGTATATAATAATCAGAAGAAGAAGAAGAGGGGAGAGGAAGAAGAAGAAGAAGAGGGGAGAGGAAGAAGAAGAAGAAGAGGGGAGAGGAAGAAGAAGAAGAAGAGGGGAGAGGAAGAAGAAGAAGAAGAGGGGAGAGGAAGAAGAAGAAGAAGAGGGGAGAGGAAGAAGAAGAAGAAGAGGGGAGAGGAAGAAGAAGAAGAAGAGGGGAGAGGAAGAAGAAGAAGAAGAGGGGAGAGGAAGAAGAAGAAGAAGAGGGGAGAGGAAGAAGAAGAAGAAGAGGGGGGAAGAGGAAGAAGAAGAGGGGAGAGGAAGAAGAAGAAGAGGGGAGAGGAAGAAGAAGAGGGGAGAGGAAGAAGAAGAGGGGAGAGGAAAAAGGACCCCCCCCCCCCCCCCAAAGAAAAGGAACTACACCCAGCAGCTCCAAGGTCCAACTTTTGTGCCATCAGGAAATCCTACATAGACCGAGGAAGAAGAAGAAGAGTGCTTCCTTATCCGACGCCATGATACAGAGTGTGCCGGCGGTGTTGTGAGATTATTATGAGAGGAAGTGGAACGTACCTCCTCGGAGACTCTCTTGTCCATGGCACCGAGCATGGAGTGTAATGCCCCTGCAGGAGAGAGACGACACAGGTTACACAACACTCGACAACGGTGCAGCATGTATGAGCAGCAAGTGTTGGGAACGTCTTATATTGCTCAGCATGAAATCTATAGAATGTTGTCAGCGAGCTCTCATTTATATTATTATTGGAATATGAACCTGAAAGTCATTTCTCATTACTGCCGAATAAAGCACCCGACATCACATGACTTCAAGTATGTTACCCCCAATGATAAATATTTGGGACTTCGTTCCTCTGTCCCTCGAGCTCAGTAAGCACCTGTTGATCCTGCCGGCCCCCCTTTGTATAGGAAGCCCTTGCCGTTTGTTCCTGTACATGCCAAGCAGATCCGTGCTAGCGTGGTCAGTCTGTGCCCCTCCCCCAGACATTTGGGATGCTGCGCCTGTAGTCCCATAGTCAGCCTGTGATGTCACAAGGTGGGAGGTCTCTGTTCAGCCCTGCTTGCTTGCTTGATTGACAGCAGCTCTCGGTAAAACTCATTATCACATCGCAAAGTGCAATCTCCCCCACCCCCACAGCACGGAGCTAACGGTCGGCCTGGACTGGGGAAGGAGGACAGAAGAGCAGCCCCGCGGGTCACATGACCACCGAATAAAAGTAAGGAGGAGAATGTGCGGCACTCACCCAGGTTGTACAGGACGCAGGCCTGCTCATATTTGATGTCAGCGTGAGTCACCGACTTCCCGGAGAAGATTTCTGTCCTGAGGGGAGAAGAAGGGAGGACAGTCAGGGAGGGGGAGGGGGGTGCTGGAGAAATGGAAGTGTCATAGACAACACATAATACAAAGATAAAGCTCCGGGCAGATTAATACCAGAGGAGGCGTCCATGTTATTATACGCAACTACTGCAAATACCTGACTCTTGATAAAAGCCTTTCACACTCCCAGGTACAGTCCGAGGAGGGGGCAGGGTAGCACTGAGGTGGTCTGTATTGAGGTGGGAGGGGGTCTGTATCGAGGTGGGAGGGGGTCTGTATCGAGGTGGGAGGGGGTCTGTATCTAGTTAAAGGAGAACTATCGGGTCAGGGCTTTTCCCCATAGTTCTCCTAAGGGTAACGGGAGGACACAAACTAGCGCCCTCCCGTCACCCAAAGCTCAGTATATAGCGGGCCACAGCTCGCGGTATACTGAGACGCCGCAGCCGGGACATTACTGTTTGGATCCGCCCAGCTGCGTGAGTGACAGCGGGCTCTGCCTATCTAGAGACAGAGCCAACTGTGCCCGCCCCCTCCCCCGTCCGTTCCCCCAGTCAGCGCTGGAGGATCAGAGGGGGGGATCCCTGCAGGGAGCCGTGAGTGACAGTCACCACTCTCTGCAGGGAGATTATCGAGAAGTGAGCGAGCGCCGGTATGTGTTCCCTCACTTCCCGATCTATGGAGCCGACCTGTCACAGTGTCATTGTCACAGGTCGGCTCCAGCTATGAGGATGAGCGATTTTCACCCCCCTCATAGTTCTCCTGTAACGGTGTTTGGGTGTTGCGCCATTCTGAGCCCGGTGACGGGGCCCCTCGAGGCCCCCGGAAAGCGCTTGCAATTAGAATGGCATTTTTGCTGAAATCCTGGGATTGGTGTGCTGGAGCCGGCAGAGTGCTTAGGCTCACTCACTATTGTGTGGAAGTTGCAGCTTGAGCTACAGAGCTCTGTGAACTTCAGGATTATTATTTTTTTTTTCCAGCAGGAGATGAGGAAACGTGGAAAGTAACCAAAATCTCCAACTATCGCCTCAAAAATAGAACACGGCAATGAATGATGTGGAGGAAAGTTCTGCACATTCCCATCTCACCATGTGATAGGGACGGCCGCCTCCTGCTCCACCCCCATGGGGATGCGGCTCTGGAGGTAATGGAGCTGACCGAAGTACTTGCGCAGCACGCTGCATCCTTCGAAGTCTCTGGGAACGTTCACAGCACTCTGGAGAGACAAGAGAAGAGTATTAGTGATTGTAAAAGCCGACCTCCGTCCTTCTATCCGTCCTCCCCGCCGGTCTTCTATCTGACCTCCGTCCTCCCCGCCGGTCTTCTATCTGACCTCCGTCCTCCCCGCCGGTCTTCTATCTGACCTCCGTCCTCCCCTCCGGTCTTCTATCTGACCTCCGTCCTCCCCTCCGGTCTTCTATCTGACCTCCGTCCTCCCCTCCGGTCTTCTATCTGACCTCCGTCCTCCCCTCCGGTCTTCTATCTGACCTCCGTCCTCCCCTCCGGTCTTCTATCTGACCTCCGTCCTCCCCTCCGGTCTTCTATCTGACCTCCGTCCTCCCCTCCGGTCTTCTATCTGACCTCCGTCCTCCCCTCCGGTCTTCTATCTGACCTCCGTCCTCCCCTCCGGTCTTCTATCTGACCTCCGTCCTCCCCTCCGGTCTTCTATCTGACCTCCGTCCTCCCCTCCGGTCTTCTATCTGACCTCCGTCCTCCCCTCCGGTCTTCTATCTGACCTCCGTCCTCCCCTCCGGTCTTCTATCTGACCTCCGTCCTCCCCTCCGGTCTTCTATCTGACCTCCGTCCTCCCCTCCGGTCTACCTCCGCCCCTCTATCCGCCCTCCCCTCCAGCCTTCTATCCGACCTCCCCTCCAGCCTTCTATCCGCCCTCCCCTCCAGCCTTCTATCCGACCTCCCCTCCAGCCTTCTATCCGACCTCCCCTCCAGCCTTCTATCCGACCTCCCCTCCAGCCTTCTATCCGACCTCCCCTCCGGCCTTCTATCCGACCTCCGTCCTCCTATCCGACCTCCCATCTGACCTGTCCTCCCCTCCGGTCTTCTATCCGACCTCCGGCCTCCCCTCCAGTCTTCTATCCGACCTCCCCTCCGGTCTTCTATCCGACCTCCGTCCTCCCCTCCGGTCTTCTATCCGACCTCCCCTCTGGCCTTTATATGACCTCCGGCCTCCCCTGCATCCTTCTATCTGACCTGCGGCCTCCCCTGCGTCCTTCTATCTCACCTGCGGCCTTCTATCTGACCTCCCCTTCGGTCTTGTACAGTTGTACCGACTCCTCTCCTCTTCCATCACTGCACACTGGGAGCTTCTCACTTGCTGCATCAGAAGCTGCAGCAAGTCAGATAGAGCCCCGCCTCATTTACTGGCTGGAGGACGTCCGGCATCATCTAACCCTTTGCCTTTTCTCATCCTTTCGGCCACGGTAACTGTGCGGCAGGACAACTTTCTCTGCAGCGTGGAGCTTGAGAACGGCCTCCAGCACGGTGCTCAGACGCAAAGATGACACCGATGGGAGGAGCCGGGTGACACGGGGGCCCCTGGGCTGCCCTCACCACCAGAGCCCTTCATATCTCATCCATGTTTATGGTTTCCTGGCTGTAACGTTCTGCAAATCAGTAACAGAATCGGAATGTCGGGAGTCACTTCCTGACCTGACACAGGGAGACTTTCCACCGGGAGGAATTGTTCCTTTTCAAAGCTTCTTAAAGGAGAACTATGAGGTCAGTGTTTTCCCCATAGTTCTCCTAAGGGTAACGGGAGGAAACAAACTAGCGTCCTCCCGTTACCCTAAGCTCAGTATATAGGGAGCTACAGCTCGCGGTATACTGAGACGCCGCAGCCGGAGCGGATCCCGACAATTATGTCTGGATCCGCCCAGCTGCGTGAGTGACAGCTGGCTCCGCCTATCTAGAGGCAGAGCCAGCTGTACCCGCCCCCTCCGTCCCGCCAGTCATCGCTGGAGGATCGGAGCTGGGAGGGGGGAATCCAGCCCCTCCCCTGTCATAGCAGAGAGCCGTGACAGGATCGAGAGGTGAGCGAACGCCGGTATGTGTTCCCTCACCTCCCGATCTACTGAGCCGACCCGTGACAGTCTCATTATCACAGGTCGGCTAGAACTATGAGGTGAGTGACAAGCCCCTCCCCCTCATAGTTCTCCTCTACACCCCCTTCCTGTCCCGGCCATTGTTCAGTATTCAGCGCTGCGGTACTTTGACTGACATTTATTCCGTCATGCAGCAGCCCCCCGGGGGGGGGGGGTTATTTTTTGCTATATTAAGGGAAAATTACCGAAATGTAAAAAAAACCGTTTCCCCTTATATCAAATGATAAAACATTTATTATTACCCAATTTTTTTGGTAAAATATAAAAGACGGGGTCACGTCGGGTAAAAATTCCAAAAGATGTCACCAGCACTCCAAAAGTAGATTCAATATATTTTAATGACAACGGTCATTCAAAATCACAAGTACTTCCGAGGCCACGTTGGGTCCCCGTCATCAGGCTCAGAACCATCTTTTGGAATTACTACTTGACTACACGGTGCCTCCGTGGTCACTACCAGCACCCTATTACAGACATCATCTCCTAGGAGATCCGGTAAGGAGTGCAGGAAGATACACACAATTTTGTACACGTCGGGTAAAAAGACACCAAATATGTCAAGCCTTAAAATTGCGCGCGCGTGCGCAAAACCTCAAAAAACTACCATACCCAAAATTGGCCATAGGCGACGCTTTAAAAGCTTTTACCGCTCGTCAGTTTAGTGTCATCAGTGATCGATGGGTCGAGAATGATTTCTCTCACTCGCGACGTTATGCAACGTGTGTAGCGCAATTGTCCTTTTCGCATTGCTGGCGCCGCGTATTTACGTTTATATGTGCGTAAATGTGGGGGTGGGGGGGAGTTAAACATTGGGGTGTTTTGTTTTTTTAACTTTTTTATGTTTTTTTTTACACTTATTGTTATTGCTATTACCTGGGGGGATAACAATCTCCCTATATAATAGCAAAGGCACACTGACAGGTCCTCTTTATGGAGACATTAGGGGTCTCTAGGACCCCTAATGTCACCTGTGGACCCCAAAAGAAGCTGATGAAGCCGAGATCTGCTCCCCCAGCTTCTTCTCTCTGACTATAGCAGCTAGATGACTGGCAGGTGAATGCGGAAGTGATGTAATACACATCACTTCCGCATTCAGACCTCAGAGGGAGATCAGCAAGGAGGAAGATGCTGATCTCCCTCCCATCTTACCTCCTGACGCCCTCCCAAGCCGGTCTCGGGCCACAGATGGGGCAGCGGATCCCGGGATTGAAGGTGAGGGGTTAGGAGGGCCCGGACGGCAACAGGTTAAAGATCACACCCCATATGGGAGGAGCTTACAAGGTATGACGCAGGAGGAGGATCTCCTGAGATCACAGATGAGATTTCCCAGCAATGTGACTTTTCCTGTTTTCTCTAGTTGTCGCCAATGGAGCAGGCTCCTAAAACAAATCCTGCGGGGCCCCTGGATTGGATGGACTGGCCCCTGATTTCAGAATTCGTTTGTCCTATTTAACCTCCCACAGGATCTTTCATTTTGGCCAACCATTCCCTCAATGGGCCGCCGTGTCACTCCGCTACTTCCTGGACACTGAATCCGCGTCATCACCACTTCCAATGGAGAGGCACCACCAACCAACCACCCTACAGGAGGCCGCCACCACCACCATGCAGGGGGCCACAAGTGCCAGCGACCATCCTACAGTGGGCCACCAGAGAGCAACAGCCCCCTACAGGAAGCCACCAGAGACCTTTACCGCCATGCGGGAGGCCACCAGTGACTTCAACTGCCCTACAGGGGCCAAAAGAGGTTGCCACCACCCTACAGAGGGGGCACCAGAGACCTTTACCACCCATTGAGGGGGCCACTAGTGACCGCAACCACCCTACAGTGGGCCACCGACCTATAGAGTTGGCACCAGAAACCAGTTAATGCCCCACAAGGCCACCACCACCACCACCACCCTATAGTGGGCCACCAGAGACCAAAACAACCCTAGAGGGGGCCACCAATGACTTCAACTGCCCTTACAAAAGGCCATCAGAGGCTGCCACTACCCTACAGAGTTGGCACCAGAGACTTGTAATGATCTACAGGAGGCCACCACCACCACCCTACTGTGGGCCACCAGAGACCTTTACCACCCTGGAGAGGGCCACCAGCGTCAGTGACCACCAGAAAGCTTTCCCATCATACAGGGGGCCACCAGTGACTTCAACTGCCCTTCAGGGGGACCACCACCCTCACCCTACAGGAAGCCACAAGAGGCCGGCCGGC